CCCATAATCCGCTTTGCTCACTCCTTCATTTCCTCAAGGTTTTACTCTGTTATCACCATATGCCTGCCTTGACTGCCTTACTGTTTTTTTAAATGTCTATTTTGGAAAATTTTAAAGATACACATAATTGTAGAGGGAACATAACCATCATACTAACATTATTTCTAACAAAATCATTTCTTAATATTCAGTACCCAAGCCACGTTCATATGGCTTGTCTCCAGAATGACATTTTACAGTTGGTTTTTTCGAATCAATATCCAGACATGGCCCACATATTGCATTTGGTTGATAGGACCACCTAAATTACATTTGCGACCTTTGTCTCCTTTCCCAGCATTCAGAATTCTACTTCTCTGCCTTGATTTTCTCCATAACACTCATCACATTCTAGCATACTAAGTATTTTCTTTGTTTTTTTTTTTTTAAGAAAGTAATCCGTCTGTCCCTATTAACACGTCAGATTCCTGAAGGCCAAGATTTTATATTTTTTGCTTCTGTTTCCCCGAACCTAGCGCGCAGTAGATGCTTAAAAAATACTAGTTGAATGAATGAGCGAATGAATGTGGTCACTTTGGCCATTCCAGTTCCAAAGAACATAAAACCTGGAGCATCTGAGAGTAAACATGAATTTCTCATTCCATATATTGGAGACCGTAGAGCATGTGGCTAAGCGGAGACTAGAATCAGTCCCCTTAGGTTTAAATTTCTGTCATTTTTATCTTTGTATCCCTGTATAAGTTATCTCTGGGTTTCTGTTTCCTCATTGATAAACAGATTATAACTCATAGGGTTATCAGGAGGCTTAAATTTCCTAGTACACATTAAGCATTTAGAGTAGTGCCTGGCATGTAATAAGTGCTCAGCTAGTGTTAGTATTATTAGTTAGTCTCAGTTCCAATGTCATTCTCTTGCTGTGAGCATCAGACCATGCTAAATATGATTCTAATGTTTAAAGACAGTTTTTATGTAATAAGCAAGTCACCTCAATTTAATAACAGTGACTTTGCAACCTAGAGAAAAATTGGACATTTGGGGTTCACATGGAGACTTTGCATTGGCCTCTAGGAAGTTTCTTTAGAAATCTTCCAGGGTAATTTTGCCATATGGCATTATAAATCAAATTTTAAAATCTAATTCTTGTGTAGGGTGTAACTTTATATTCTCTTTTTTTTTCTTTCTACCCCCACCAAACGTAAACATTGTCCAAGATTTCATTTTATGCCTCATACTTTGCTCTAAACATAGCGATATCGTTGGAGACCTCTTAGATTCTTAAGAGCTTCACATCTGAGTAATTTCAAGAATTTCTTGATCTTCTTAATTCTATGTATGCATTTCTGTGAAACTGATGTAACTCACTTTCTTCGATTCCTGACACTCAGAACCCTTGCTGCTGTCAGTTGCAATTTGCTCTCCATCCATGACCTTTGATTCTCTGTACATGGCTTTCATTCTTATCTCTCAGTATGGACTTTATCCACAGTTGAAAAACATAGTAACCAACAATTGCCTACTATACTCTGCTTTCTGATTAAACTGGTCTACTTTTTTGAAAAGCTTAATAATAAATAGTCTTGAATTTGTATCAGCCTTTATAAAACACTATTGTTTACATTATTTGCCATGTCAAAATACTTAAAAATATATTCCTACTTTAATTTTGCTGATAAAAATCTTACCCAAGGTTAGGCTGTTCACTGGTGAGGCCAGAACTTTATTTCATCTTTAAATTACACACCTCTTGCTTTTTCTACTATTTAGGGTTGTCGTGTATTGGAAAGGGCAGGCATTGCATGATAAGAATGCAGAATCTGAAGTCAGACTGCCCAAGTTTGTAACCTGATTCTTCTACTGCCATGTTGTGTGACCTTGGAAAAATGACTTTGTGTCACTTAACTTTTCTTCTTCAGTAAAGTATAGGCAGTAATAGTACCTATTTCTTGGCATTGCTGTATTATCTTGTTTATTCCACACATGTAAATCTTTTAGAACAGTACTTGGCACCATAGTAAGTGTAAAATTGTGTGATATAGACTATAGAATTTTTCAGAAAAGGGAGCTGTGCATGGGAGTTACAATAAGTTAAAGAGATGGGGATTTATTAGAAGAATGTATAGGATTTGAATGTGATGATAGAGCGGGGAAAGCATTCTTTCCTCATAGGAGGGAAAAGGTAGCTTTGCGAGAACAGTATGGGAAAGGAGCTTCATGAAAAAATTTCAGAGGCAAGAGTTGGCATTCTTTTTTGGGAATTGAAAGCAGCCTGGATCTGACTGGATCTAGACTAACAAGGGATAGGACCATGTCCTGGAAGGCTTTGAAGCTAGATAGAGGCATTTAGACCTGACACCTGTTCAGTTGAGTAACGTAATCCAAAGGGGGCCTTTGTAGGCATATTGACCTCATAGTGCAGTGCACTGTGACAACAGCAGCTCAGCAACCAGGAAGAAGTGCATGATAGCTTATACTAAGGTTATGACAGCAATTAGAGAGGGCCAATCTGAGACGCTTTGAAGCCGTTGGTAAGTATGGTTTTACCTGAAGGCAAGATTGAATGATAGAACTCTGAGTGATAGAACTCTTGCCTGGGACAAGGTATATGCTAATGTAATAATTGGTGTTGCTGAGGAAACAAAAATGTTAAGAGAACTTATTTAACTTATACTCATTCCTGAAGCATTTGAACCTTGGCTAGGATGATTATTTTCAGACCAGTTATTTAATTTGATAAAAGAGGGTTTCAGTATTTTATTTAAGCTTCGTGATTCCCCCTTTGGAAATCAGCCTTTAAACAATCTAACTTAATAGAGCAACTAATAGAAAAATTGTTTGACAGTTAAATTACTCTCTTAATTATGTTCTCAAAGCTCTATGCACAAACCTCAACCGTGGCCCTTGTCGTTCTCTACCGTAATTATTATGTATTCATTATCTCTTAAAGTCCTTGAGTTTAGTGATCAGATCTATGTCTGTGTTCCTGCATAACCATAATAAATAATAAATGTCTGTGGGATAAATGACAGAGAGAGAGAGAGAGAGAGAGAGTGTGTGTGTGTGTGTGTGTGTGTTTTGTGTCACGGCATAAGTCATACCCTGAATGGAACAGCACTGGCTTAGAAATATTTTCATTAGGAGTTTTTTATTGGGAGTTTCTTCATTTGGAGCATCAAGGATGTACAAGATATAATGGTATAAGTCCTATGTTAGAACATGTGGGATCCCTCAGTTCTTCTCCCTCAAGCATATGGATGATCTAATTAATAAAAGTCTAGTGTCAACCCAGCTTGTAATGCTTGGTGGTTAGATAAAAGATTCAAAATTTTTTCTCAAAAAAAAAAAAAATCAAAGCTCAATAAAGCACCTCTAATTATAATAGTTTGGCCTTCATCATTCTGCCCTTCAGTGGGCTGCCCCACTGATCTTTTCTGTCTACTTAGCAGCTAATCAGTTTGAAATGAGTCGTATGATATTCTGCTCTTTGGGTGCTATTATAGTAATTCTCGAAAGGTGTGGCAAAACACACCACCAAACTTTTGGATTCTGATTAACCCTTTCTTCAGGTGTCCTGTTGCGGGCCTGCATGTGTAACTTTCCATTTGACTCTGTCTTGTTCCACAGTCCCCTTTAAGCCCTAAATCATCTTGTTTCTTCCTTGCACTTGAGGTTCTCCAGCCACCATTCAGACCCCTGCCCCTTACAGAACAGCTCTTTGCTTCAACAGTGTTCTTATATTTTTTAAATGGTATTCACTTCTTGCCTGCCATTTGGTTTCGATAACCTAGTTTTTTAAAAAAAAACTACAAACCTATTAAGACAGAGATACCGTTAAAAACAACCTATTTTCTTTCTCAAGGAATTGTATTTTATTAGGCTGACTTTTAGATACTGGTTTGTAAAAAGTGACTCAGCTGTTTTTTGGTAATGTGTATATGCTGTTTTTTGGTAATGTGTATATATTATTTTTAAAAATCTAGGAATTTTGCTCAGAATTCCAGACTTGGATGGGACTTTAAAGATGCCCTTTTGTTGCTTGATTACACAGTTTGGTTGCTGTTGGGGTCTGATGATAATAAATGATAGGTTTTTGGAGCGCCCTGGCAATTTGGAAACTGGTTCTTTGTGTACAGGTCATGACTTAGCTTCTTTACTTGAAGAAAAAAAGAATGTAACTTGTTAAGGGTGCCTGTAATTTATTACTTTATTGTCTATTTTAACAAAGTATTACATGTAATAGGAATCAGAATTTTAGTTAAGGGAATAACCCTGTAACTATTCAAGTCTTTCCTTCATTGATATATTTATCACTGTTTGTTTTCTCTGCAGGCCTCAGCTGTTGAAGAATGCTCTGCAAAGAGCAGTAGAGAGAGGCCAGTTAGAACAAATAACTGGCAAAGGAGCTTCTGGAACATTCCAGGTTAGAGGCTAATAAGGCTTGTTTGTAGAGAAGTAGTTTATACTCTAAAAAGTTATTGATGACTCTAAGAAGTTTTATTTATGTGGGTTATACCTATCAGTATTTACCCATATTAGAAATTTAAACTGAAAAAGATAAATATTCATTTCTTAAACATTCATTACATTAACATAAACAACATTCATTTGAAAAAGAACTATATTTTTCTCAAAAAAAATCTTGAGAAAAGGGGCACTTTGTATTAACATTTTTGCAAATTCTTTAGCTTCATAGCTTCATTCTTTAGCTGGTATTTGTTTCAGTATATTTTGGGTTAGGTCTATGAAAAAAATTCATCCAACTCACAACAGAAACACAGTTAGAAAAGGGGATATTTTAAGATAATCTTCAAATAGTTGTGGATATTATTCTTTGATCCTATACCCAAACTCAACAAATGGTAGTTTTTTAAATAGCTTTATTGAGGTATGATTTATGTACCATAAAATATACTCACTTTAAGTTAGAATTTGTAAGTCATTGATTTTTAGTAAATTTAGAGTTATATAACCATCACCACAATCCAATTTTTTAGAACATTTCCATTACCCAAAAAAGATCCCTTGTGCCCATTTGCAGTCCTCCCTGTTCCCATCCCCAGCCAAGCTACTAATCTGCTTTCTTTCAGTATATATTTGCCTTTACTACACATTGCATGTGAATAGAATTATACAGTAGGTGGTCTTTTGTGCCTGGCTTCTTTCACTTAGCAGACAGTTTCTGAGTTGAATCCATGTTGCAGTGTGAATCAGCACTTTTATTCTTTTTTATTGCCAAACAGTATCTCATTGTATGGATCTAACACATTTTGTTTATCCATTCATAAGTTGATGAACGCTTGGGTTACTTCTCCTTTTTAGCTGTTATGATTAATGTTGTGTTTGAACATTACATCCAAATCTTTGTTGATCTTTGTTTTTATTTCACTTAGGTATATAACTAGGAATGTAGACTTGCTGGACTATATAGTGTATTTGTTTTAAGAAACTGCTAAAGTGGCTGTATCATTTTACATTCCCACCAGCAATGTATTAGGGCTCCAGTTTCTCCATATCTTTGCCAACACTAGTTATTATCTTTATTACAGCCATACTAGTGGTTATAACGTGGCATCTGATGGTGGTTTTGATTAGCATTTCCCTAATGACTACCGACATCGATTATCTTTTCATGTGCTTAATGGAGATTTGTTTTATCTTTGGTAAAATGTCTGTTGAAATCCTTTGCCTAATTTTATTTGTGAGTGCTTCATTTTATTTTTTTATTATTTAAAAGTTCCCTTGGCCTCTTTTTTAAGTTGGGTTATTTCTCTTTTTATTGAGTTAGAAGAGTTATATAACTAGATCCAAGTTCCTTATCAGATACATGATTTGTAAATATTTTCTCCTATTCTGTAGCTTTACTTTCACTTCCTTAATAATAGCTTTTGAAATACAAAGTGTTTGTTTTTGATGAAGTTGCTTATGCTCTTGGTGTCCTATCTAATAAATTATTGCCTAACTTGAGGTCACAAAGATTTACTCCCTTGTTTTCTATTAAGAGTTTTATAGTTTTCGCACTTACATTTACGTCTGTGAATTAAGTTTTGAATTAAGTTTTGTTTTAAGTTTTGAATTAAGTTTTGTTTATTATGGTGTGAGATAGGGTATAAATTCATGTTATTGCACGTGGATATATAATTGTCCCAATACCATTTATGGAAAAGATTATCCTTATTGGATTTCCTTGGCACCTTTATCAAAAATCCGTTGACCATAAATGTCAGGGTTTATTTCTGGACTCTCATTCCTGTTCCGTTGAGCTGTATGTGAGTTCTTATGCCAGGGTCTTGGAGACTGTAGCCAATTGGGATTTTGGTAGAGATCGGAGTGAACCTATAGATCAGTTTGAGGAGAATCACTATCTTTACCACATTGAGTTCTCAGTCTACAAACACTGACTGTCTCTCCATTTATTTATATCTTTAACTTCTCCCAGCAAGTTTTGGTAGTTTTCAGTGTACGGGTCTTATATTTCTATTATTAATTTTTTTTTCCTAAGTTTTTCCATGATATTGTGAATGGCATTTTCTTATTTTCATTTTCATATTGTTCATTAGTTGCCTATAGAAATACAATTGATTTATCTATTGTTCGTATATCTTGCAATCTTGTAGAACTCATTTATTAGTTCTAATGGTTTTTTGTGGGTTCCTTAGAATTTTTTGTGGATTCCTTAGGATTTTTCTACATACAGTATTATGTCATCTGCAGATAAAGACAATTTTACTTTTTCCTTTCCAATCTGGATTTCTTTCATATTTTTTTTCTTTCCTGATTGCACTGGATAGAAACTTCAGTACGGTAATAAGAGCAGAAGACTTTCTCGTCTGTTAGTCTTTCACCATTGAGTTAGCTGTGGATTTTTCTTTTTGGATTTTTCATAGATGCCTATCATCAGGCTGAGAAAGCTCCTTCTGTTACTAGTTGTCATTTTTATTATGAATAGCTGTTGGATTTATCAAATGCTTTTTCTTTGTTTCTTGAGATGATATTGTGGGTTTTGTTTCTGATTCTGTTAATATAATGTATTACATTAATTGATTTTGCAGTAATTCTGAAAGATTAATTGGCATGTGGAACCTGAAACTGTATCAGTGAACTTCTTGTACTCTGCACCTTAAAATCCTTTTGTCTGTCTTGAACTTTGAGTCAGTCTTTTAACCATGCATAATTTTGTAACAATCATTTGGAAAATAGTGGTTCACTGAATTATGCAGATTTTTGAATGTCGATACATTTTATCAAACAACAAAAATCACATTAATATCACCGACTGATCTCATCAGAAAGGTACGAGGAATTTCACGGTGGTAGATACAAGTTTTCCCAATTTAAATTTTCTTTCGAAAACTTGAATTTTATCATTCACAACAAATACTGTTAGCTGTTTTCCTTGAAGTGACAGGCTCACTTAATTCATTTTCAAGAAAATGTCTACCAGATAGATAAATAAGTCTGAATAACTTTAGTTTATCTGTTATTCCTTCAGGTAAAAAGGGTATTCAATGAAAAATGCAGCTAGTTCAGCTCACGATGCAAATAATCACAGGTGCTTTTCCTCGAGACCGCTATCATAGCACCATATATAGCCAAAATGCTTGATGCATTCTTCCTTATCTCATCCCATAAAATACCAAAAAGGCACGCACTGGGGTTGAGATTTAATAACATAATTTGTACTTCTTCATCAAGGACATTCCTAAGTGAAACCATCTTTTTCTTTTTAAACCACAAGGGCAGAGCAGTAAAGAATATAGTAACCACTATGTAGTTTTCGTGCCCCTTCCTTCCTTTGTGATAAGGTAGCAGTTTTATGCTTCAGTGCTTTTCCACCATCAGTGCAAGTGTCACCACAGTGAAAAGGGCAAATCACATCATAGTATTATTATGAAAATAGTTTTGACGTCACATATCTTCTGAAAGGGTCTCAGGAACCCCAAGGGGTTTATGGACCAATTTTTGAGAATCACTGTTGTGGACTATGTATGAGTTTGTCCTTTTATCCCCCAATTTTTGTTTATTGGTGCTCACCTTTGTTCTCCATCCTTTTGTCCTTGAATTACCTGTTTAATTTTCTGCAGTATGATACTCTAAATATTTATCAAAATTTTCCTTTGCTGTTTTCCTTACAGGATTAAAAGAGCCATTTATTATTTTTATAACTACATTTTTCAGATTCAGAAAAAAAGTATTCTCAAAGCATCTTAATTTGTTGAGGGCCTGCTAGGTTAACCTGTTTATTGGGGTAGAGTTGTCACTCTCTTTGCGTTAGGTTGGCTATTGCTATTTTAGATTGGATGGAGGGGTAGATGGAAGGAGAAAATATGCACAGGAGGGTTGAGACTCCTCAGTTAGATTGAATACCTGATAAGCAGAAAGAGAAAGTCCCTAACCTGACAATTTATTGTAAAACGTATCTGTGCTAATGCAGGAACTCCGACCCACCTGGTGCAGAGGAGTCTTGTCTTGACCTGCTTTGGGAGAGTGTTGTCTTGATGCTTTTCTCTTCCTCCTTGGAAAACAGCTGAAGAAATCAGGGGAGAAACCCCTGCTTGGTGGAAGCCTGATGGAATATGCAATCTTGTCTGCCATTGCTGCCATGAATGAGCCGAAGACCTGCTCCACCACTGCTCTGAAGAAGTATGTCCTGGAGAACCACCCAGGGACCAATTCTAACTATCAAAGTAAGATTCGGAGTTGTGTGCATCGTACTGGGATTAGGGCAGTTATTTTATGAAAAATCCCTAGAGTTCTTGCTGCTAGTGTCAAAGCATGAACCGTTGGCTATGAAAACCAAGAGGGAACAATTTTGAGGGTGCGGTGGGACAACAATTTTACAAATTTTGTTTCTTATTTACAAAAAGAAAACCACAATCAAGGCTTATCCTTAATTTACAATGTGCTAAAGATCAGAATGTAATTTTACTCTGCTGTAAAGATATTTCTGATGTTTTTATTGTAATTTAAATACATCTCTAGGTTCAGAACACCTCTCGTGTATATCTTCTTGCCTACTTCTGAATGTTCTCCAAAATATCTAATTTCACCTTGAAACCAAGCCAGTATTTTAAAATACTTAACTACTTAGGTTATTTCTTACTTAAGCTCTGTAACAGAAAATACTTTTTTTAGTAAAGTGTATCTACCCTGTCTGGTGATGATTTTGAGACCAAGAATCTTGCCTTACCAGCATTATCACATACAGAGTAGTGAGAGCGTGTGTTTTCTCGGCGAACTGCTAGAATAGGCACACTGTCATGGAGTGGAAAATATGGAAGTTAAGTAACGAAATGCAAACTAGAATATATTGTTTTAAATAAAAAGGTAATTTTGGAGTATTAACTTTTAACATAATTGCAATATGTATGTTTTAACGTTATGAAAGAATGCTTTCTGATTGTTTTCTTCTCTACTTCGAAAACTGGTGTTTTTTGTCTTTCCTTCCTTTCTTAAGGTACATGTACTGCGTTTAATTTTGCAAATTGACCCTTCTAGACTATTTCCTGATTTTTTCTTTTGGTCAAACGTGAGAGAAGATGAATTTAGTTATTAACCTTTTCAGTTTCTCTGATTTTACAGCTATTTTTTAGATACTGAATCATAAAATATGTTTTTGATGTGTCTTTGTTTGAAAGATGAGAATTAGTGAGGCTTTTAGGAGCCATGATATTCTGGTACTCTGTGTTGATTCATGAGAAATTAGTTCTGCTTATAGATACTCTCCTATATGATTATCTATTCTTATAGGTACTCGAGATGTTTGAGTGAATGGAAATACAGATTTAGTCTTAGGTCAGCTATTAAGCATTTATGTGCAACTCTGGGGCAAGTCTCTAACCAGTCTGGGCTCCAGTTTCCTTTTCCATGAACCGAGGTATTTAACTCAATGGTCTCAAGACTTTCACCATTATAATTTTACTCCTGCCAAATTTATGGGCACTTAATAACTGTTTAGTGAATTAGTTAATCCCTCTTACCACAAAGGATACCACAAAGGATTCACTTAGAACATGTTAGTTACTGTATGTGATAAGACATTTGATTGATGTGTAACTGACTGTAGTTGAATTACCAAATTTGAATATTAAATAACTTTCTTCATTTTTGAATTTTTGTTTAGTGCATCTGCTAAAAAAAACCTTGCAGAAATGCGAAAAGAATGGGTGGATGGAACAGATCTCTGGTAAAGGATTCAGTGGCACCTTCCAGCTCTGTTTTCCCTATTACCCCAGGTAAACACCTAGCCCATAATATAACATATTGGCCTTTATAAATTTAAAATCTGATTCTAAGTTACAGGCTTGGCTTAACTTATTTTACCGTTATTACTGTTACACATAACTTGATGTACATGAAAATAAAGACTACATAAGGCAGTATTGTTTTCAAGCAAAAGGTTTTCATGTAAGAGCAGAGTAATTTTGGCTATCCTGCTGGAGCTTATTGTTAGCTATGTGTTCCTGAAATCAAGTGTTAAATTCCTTGGCCAGTCGTTTTGACATTCATTCCTTTTTTATTAAATAATTGATAATGACAGGAAGATAATTAGAGGCATATATATGTTTT